AATCCCAGGAACTATATCCCTGAGTGCTGAACAGACACCTTTGACCCACCCAGGGAGAGTCTAGCCCTTTACTGGGCAAATAACAAGGTTCGGAGGTGGAGGTAAGGCCCACGTTGGTATGGAGACCAGCTAAGAAAACAAGAGTTCCAAAAGCACCCACCACCTAAGGAATATCCCACTCTTGGCCCCAGCTGGCTAAGGCCTGCTAGACTGCAGGGCCCGGGGGCCAGGCCACTAAGGAGAGCTGGGAAATGCCCACTTGGGCCTCTTGTCTGACTGCTACAAGGGTTTGTCACCGCTGTCTTTCCATTGCTCTGTCACCATCTCCTCCCTCCACTCCCCCTGCTCTAAAAGCTTTCCTTACACCACAGCTGATTTCACACTTGTGTCCTAAGAGCCCAAAGTGGTGAAAATTAAGAGAACTGTCTATGGAGGGGATAGGCCTGGGAGTTTTCTGGCCCTCCTGCAAGTTCCGGAGAAGTGTCTCCGCGATACGAGAGACCAGTTAGCCACTGTACTTTTATTCACATCGTATATTTTGGCATTTTCCAGAGAAAGACAGGGAAAAGACAAGGTGGGGAAAGACTGAGGCAGGAGGGTGGTGGTGGGGGGGTGTTCCCCATTTCCCTCAAATCCCTCCTTGCCTGACCACACAGGGAGCAAACACAAAAGGGGGAGGGGAGGCACAAATGCCCTTCCTGTGGAAGAGGTTGCACAAAGCTACACCCACACGCACACACAAAGAAGCCCCCCTCCACACCAGGGGCCGGGCAGAAGTACAGAGAAGCAGAGCACTGTGGGTTCGAGAGTGGGGAAAGCAACGAAGTCTCCTCACAGACAAGCAGCCGGCCCCTCCGCCCCCCCTCCTCTATCCCCAAAGTCTCTCTGGTGCGCCTCTGCTTTGCTTGGCCATTCTCCTATGGCCTCTAGCTTCTTCCCTGCTGCTGGGGACAAACAGAAATAGGGTACAGAGCAGGGGCGGTTGAAGTCCATCCTTCAGGCCAGGTGGGCCATCCCCTGCCCTTAGTGTAAGAGCCAGGGCAGGCTCTTAGCTGGCCACTCTCTGGTAGAAGTAGATGTAGCCCAGGTCCTTGGGTGGCTTCTCAGAGGCACACACTTTCTGGTCATTGTAGATCACCCACCTGGGGAAGCCAAGAGGGGATGCAACAGGGTGAACCCAGGGGCATTCCAAGTCACAGCCGTTTAGTCTCTGCCAGCCCCTGCACTCCTCCCACTGATTCAAAGCCTCCAACATCCTTGGCCTGGATCCCCAAATTCCCAAAGCCTGTTTGTAGGGAGCAGTCCCACCCCACAAAGGTCACTTCTCCTCATCTTCAGATCCTTCAACACCTTTACAAATCTCTCCCTGCCATCCTGTTAGGCACATGCCAGCAAACTCTCTAAGGACCGAGTGGTACATATTTCAGGTTTGCAGGCCATCTGGTCTCTGACAGCGATGCCGTGTAAAAACTGCCAGAGACAGTAAATACGTGTGGCTGTGTTCAGGAAAACTCTTCAAAAGCAGGAGGCTGGATCTGGCCTTGGGCTGGAGTCTGTCCATCCCACTGTCAGGCTCTCAGGCTACGTAAATGGCTGTGCTGCAACCAGGCAGTCCTTTCCCTTCTCCACAAATATTCTAATCTTCCAGAACGCCCCCATGAATTCCCATCCCTACTGCCTATTCAGAATGTACACCACCGGTCCCTCACCTGCCTTCCTTCTTGATGTGGCAGACGTAGTGACCACACATGGTGGAAGTGCCCATGTGACTAATGAAGGCGAAGAGCTGATACTCTAGGGAGGGAGGGAGACAGAGGGCAGAGAAGACAATGAGAAACCTGGGCAACAGTAAAAGGATACTTCTGACAGCTCAAACTCAGGACAGGAGTTCCAAGTGGCATGTATTGGAGCCAAGTCTTTCCCTGCAGAATCCTTCACTGCAGAAGTCACGTTAGTGGCTAGAAGCTCCCACCCCTCCAGGCCCTCAGGGAAGCAAAGCTGTGTTGGAAAGTGGATCTGCAGTAGCTGCCTGGGTTCTGCCAGGCCTTTTCTGTTCCCCAGGGACACTTACTTCCAGGCCCATCCCGGACTTTGGGTCCCACTGGCACAGACTCTGAGATGGAATCAGCAGCTGAGCGGCCCTCCGAGATGTCCATAGCAGCTTCTGCATCCAGGTCATCAATGTGGCTGAAGATCCAGTCCACAGCCCGTTCTAGACTATTATTCTTGGAGAGAGGAGAGGAGCTGTTTTTTCTAACAAGTTCAAGGGCTTTTCAGGCACCTATGAGAGTCTCAGCTCCTTCATCGTGGCCACAAAAGGGTGGGGCTGCAGGCGAGGCCATACCACGCTGGTGGTCTCCGGTCTTGCTCACAACAGATGGACCTTATCACCACCCCCTTCTTCCCAACGACCCTCATCCTCGGAGGGGTCAGCGCCTACCGTGGCCCGCAGAGCTTTCAGAGCCTGGTCCCGGGAGAAGCCCATGGAGACAATGGTGGTCACGCAGTCCTCTGGAGGAGGGTCGGCCGCTGCACTCGTGGAGCCAGGCCCACTGGAGCCAGGCAGGATGAGGGGATTGGCAAAATCTGCAGATATGGAGGGGTTGAAGTGTTTGGGGGATGAGGGAACCCCCCTCACTCCCCACTTGGCCTACCTGGATCGTCCATGTGTGACATGACCCAGTTCATGGCAGCCTCGGCACCACTGTTGCCCGTGTAGTAGACAGCCTTGCGGCAGGCATCCATGGGGAAGCCCATCTCCACCAGCTGGATGATGACAGACTCATCCAACATGGGTGCTGGGGGGGGAGGGGTGGGCTCAGGCTGGCTGCTCCTCAGCCCCCTGGCCAACCAGTCAACCCTCCCCAAACACCCCCCACCTCCAAGCACTCCTTTTGGGCTGCCTGACACCTTCTCCCAGAACTAAGACGACAGAACAACACAACGGGTCCAGGATCCTGAAGACAGAGAATCAAGGTGAAGATCCCCCAGGGCTTCCCGCTCCTGCCCACTGTCACAAAATGGGCCCCATTTCTGGAGTACGACACTGTGTCTCCAACCAGTGAGGGAACAAGGATGGAGAGGCGACTGCAGTGCTACTGCCATTTTCACAGAGAACCTGGCCTCAGGGCTCTGGGTGATCCCCACCCATCAAAGAGGGCACAGGAGTTTCGAAAGGGAGGACAGGAGAAACACAGAGGACAGGGTCGGGGAAGGTAGGCAGGGAAGACCCCACTAGCAAGGAAAAGAGACAGGCAGGAAGAAGAGTCACTAACATGTCGGAGAGGAGAAGTGAGGGGAGCAGAAGGAGTCTTCGTCTTCGTTGCCATAGAAACCAAGGCTACCTTTGGGCTCATCCGGAGTGACCAGGGGTGGGGCAATGTCGGGCAGCTCCTCTTCTCCAGGCTGCAGCCCTGCACCCCTCAACTGGGAGATGTCTAGCTCCTCTGGCATCTCAATGGACACATCTGAAAGAGGAATGGCAGGACGACGGTCACCTCAGCCGCTCTCCAGGCCCCCGCTGGAAAAGCACACGGGGAGTCTCGAGGCCCCGCCCACTCTGGGGCGGAGCCTGTGCAGTAAAAGCAACTGTGGGCCTGCAAGCCTTGAGACCCGGATCTTCCACCCACCACCACCGAGCTATGGCTCCGACTTGTGCTTAATCTGAGGGAAATGGGGCGCAACCAACTCCACGTCTGTATCTGGCCCTGGGCAGGCTTCACAGGGTCTGCGGACAAGGAGCAACAGTGAAGGCAGGAGGGCTGGCATGAGCAGGAGCAGCACAGGGGCAGAGGGCTGATGCCTCGCGAGAACAGTCTCCAGATCACCAAAACGGAGGTACCTTGCCAGTTACAAAAATAAAACAGGGACAACCACTTTGTGCTGTGAGTCCTATCTCTACCATCAAAGAGGTCTTTTATAGTGTTAGTGCTTTCTCAACAAGAGCCAGTCTGAAACACCTCATGTAACTTTTCCCTCTTCAGAGGCAGCTTTGAGAAACACTAGTTTATCTATGTCAAGGCCCTTTTGTGTTCTGGCATTTTCTCTTTCAGCCCCCTCGCTCATCACAGCCACCATACCCAGTTTCTTGGGCACCCAGTCTAAGCCGAAGGTGAACTTCTTGATCTGGATGACCAGGTAGTCGGGGAATGAGGCAAACCGTGTGGTCCTAGGGAAGAGAGAATATCCTGGTACCCAGAAAACCCCAAGGTCTCCTCGCCTGAAACCCTCGCCTGCAGCTCAGCCTCAGGGGCAGAAGACCTTGGAGCCCAGAAGATGCTCCACGCTTGCATCTGGCCCTGGCAGGCTTCAGACAAGGAGCAGCGATGAAGGCGGAGGGCTGTCTTATGAGTGGGAGCAGCAAAGGGGCGCAGAGCTCTAACTCCTGGGGCCAAAGCGCCCTTCAGACCTCAGGCCTGTGCCAACCACCGAGTAAGGTCATTTGCTAGAAACCCCAATCTGTCCTTCACTGACACTGTGCTCTGCCACACGGAGGGAGTGAAGAGAAGCTGCAC